ACTTTCTACTAAACTGTCCACACATTCTTCCAGGTTGTTCTGTTGAAAATGACCTGATATTACAGCTGTGCATTCTCTTTGCAACTGAGATCCACACAGTTCCTCAACAACCGGTGATTCTGCAATAAGCTCCTCACTCTCCACTAACCGTTGCTGCAGATCCATTATGGTATTGAGATCATCCTCAGTCTTCTTAGTGAGTTCTGTAATCAAACACCCTTGTTCCTGCTTCTCCTGCTCCAGTCTGACTCCGTCCACCTCTAGCTTGGAGATATGCTCCCTCAGCTGTGTTTCCTCCCTCTTGATTTCCTCGTCTCTGAGCTCAATGTGAGCCAGAAGTTCCTGGATCCGGTCTGCCAAGGCCCGGTTCTCATGATTCAGGGCCTGGACGAGATCATCCTGGTCCAGGGCAAGAATGTTGTTATCTTCAGCTACATCACTGGTGGGTAATGTGTGAATCTGAGCATACAAATACACAGAATTTGATCAGTGATGTACTGGAAAGGTTTGTTACTGAAATGTGGTTGTAATTTACTGTTTACTGTTTACTGGGAATACTGTAACCCCTGTGACATACCCTTTTTCTTGAAGACTCCTGCTCTGCCTGTGCTTCTTGCTCCTCTGCCTCTTTCCTGAGTTGTAATTTCAGTTGAGTATTCTCTTGAGCCATCACCTGCAGCTGTTCCTGCGTGTGCTGCAGGGCAACCTCCAGGCGGTCACGTTGTTCTCGAAGTGCCTCAAGATCCTCCCCCAACCCCAGGCTCCTGTAGGCTTCCCTCAGGGCTTCAGATTCCTCACTGTGGATTTTCTCCAGATTTAGGATCCCTCTAGAGCCCCAAGTCTCCAGTTTAAATTCATCTAGTGTCTCTGCAGTCACGGAAAGGGACCGGAGGCTGTGTTTGTTTTGTGTTCTCTCTGCTGAAGCCCAGTGGTGAACAGGTGGAACTGCAGATGAATGAGGCTGGCCTATTCCCTCATCCGAGGTTAGATGGACCTACATAGAGATCACAGTCGTGTGACAAAAGTTCGACAGAGAGAAAATGACTGGCAGAATATAGAGAACTTAATAATGTAACCTAAACCAAATTCATGTCTCAGTTGATACACAATGTATAAGCATTTACAATAGGGGAGGTGGTTATGCAACACTAAATCCTGGCAACAGAGCTTTCACTCACTAATACCTTCTCATGAAATAACAAGAAGGAATCTACAACACTAAGCCAATAATAACACCGGATTGAATATTAATTGACCCTTAAGTTATTATTGCCAACCATATTTGGCCAGTCTACAATGAAAAACTGGTGAGAGTAAATCACAGAAAACAAATTTCAAAATAATAATGTGTCACACATTGATTAGTCGAACAGTTGATCTTAACTCAACAGTTGTTAAAACAGGAATTTGTCACTTTTCAAACATGTTGGGAACTAAAAACCCTCAACAAATGCTCCTTATCGCAAGTGTTTTATTCTCAAGAACCGATAATTCCATCCTACACATAATAGTACTGAAACTCAAGTTGTTTGAGTTAAATTTGGTCAAATACTGTAGCATTCTTACTTTTAGACTACATGTGGCATGACTGGCACATAATCTAAGGATAGAAGGTGTTTCTTATATTGTAAGAGCTTTAGTTTTTCTCAGGACAGGAAAACCATTGTGCAAACTTCTGTTCATGTCTGTTGTTGACTTGTGCTGTAGAGGAGATATCCTCTATTCCCATGCTGCTCATTCCACCTTATAACAGCTTGATGTAGTTTACCTCTGTGCCCCACATTTCATTACAGGAGATAATAAATATTGTTCTCATCACTGAGTGATGTATGAAAAAGTAGGCTGGCCCTCACTAACAACAAGAAGAGAGATACATACTATCATCTTTGTTTAGAAGTGTCTCCTACTAAAGCTGCCTCAGTGTGTCACATCTCAGATTTAGGATCATCAGATGAGATCTCTCTTGCTAACTCTTGAAATAAACACTGAACTTGATAAGAAGGTTATAATAATGATCATATCTTACACACCTCTCCCTTGGCCGTGGTATGTGAGAGAGTGTTGGAGGACACAGAACTAACAGCAGGACTGCAGTTGGGCGAGCTGGTCCCAAGACCCGCAGATGGGATTGTGGATGACTGACTGGATGTTTGGTTAGCTGCATCCGTATGGATCTGCTGGAGCCTGTTGTTCTCCTCTCTCAGTTCTTCAACCTCCTCCATCAAGGAGTTTTCAGAGAGCTTCAGTTGGTGCACCTCTGCCTTCATCTCCTCCACCTTGCAGCCCAGGAAGTGGCTGTTCTCCTGAGCCTCCTGGAGCTGCTCCAACAGTCCCCTCCGCTCGGTCATGCCACCCTCCTCTCTCTCCAGCAGCACCCTGAGATCCTCCTGCAGGCTCAGGATGAAGCCTTGCAGCCCGGCTTCATTTGAGTTCTGTTGTGTGTCTTTGACTCTTTTCCCTTGTATCTCTTTCGCTGTCTTTCCCTCATCACTCTCTCGTGCTCCTCCTCTCTCAATTCCCACACTTGGCTGCCACTGCTTCCTCCTCTCCTCCTTTCTCTCCTCTTCTCCTTCACCCTCTCCTCTCATGAAAGGTAGCCTCTCTTGTTCTTCCCAGTGTGTGACAGTCCCGGCAGTAATTCTGACTGCACTGATCGTTGTCATGCCAGTGGCGGCACTCACAGTCATGTCCAGTAGCTGCTTTTCTAAAGCGTAGATCCGGTTCTGTAGGCTCTGCTCTCTGTCCCGGGCCAGGCTGAGCTTGTGCTGGAGCTGGGTTTTAAAGTTCTCGAAGTACTGGGACTGACGACTCATCTCCTCCTCTTTGGCCTTCAGCTGCCTCTGACAGCGCTGTAGTCGATCCCTCCAAACCCGCTCTCCTCGCTCCTTCTCCTGGGTCTGAGCAGTAGGGAAGTGGGAGAAAGAGAAAGACAGAGAGAGAATATTATAGAGAGAGATACTACAATGGAGTCTGGAAAAACAACTTCTGAGTTAACCCTAGTGGCTAAGGGGTCTCCTGTACTATACATATACATTATATATAATGTCTATTAGAATACATACTAGTTTGTGTTTTAGTGTTGGTATTGTTGTAGTAGTAGTCTTTACTGTAGATGTTATTTGTTATTGTTGTTTTCATGAGAAAACAAATCAGCCTGACCTTATAACCCAACCTTCGTAGCATTGTTAATAACTTGCTACTTGGTCCATTATTTTGTCTATTCGTTGTATAACACACATTTTAGTCCAGACCCATGATAAGTAAAACATGTGTACTCACCATGGTCCTGACCTCCTCCCTGAGCATGTTGAGTCTCTGGTCCAGCCTCTGGGAGTGTTGCATGCTGGGGAGGTGGGAGGCAGAGGCTAGCTGATCGAGCTGTAGCAGCAGCCTCCTCTCTGACCTCTCTAACCCTCTGATCCTAACAACACGACACCGACAAGCTCACATTACATCACCTTATTAACTTCACACAAATTTGCACAGTAACATAAAGCTAGAAGTACTTAATAATTTCCTCTGTTAATTTGATATAAAAATCTACAAATTTGATTCAGTTTTAACCTCCTAATGCGAGAAAAGATGAAAACATGCAAATAGATAGTCTACCACAGCGAGTAATTCCAGGGGAGGTGTTAGCAGCAGCGTGCTTCCATGCAAGTGTACAGGGCAGCAAGGTGCATGTGATATGTGATATCACCTTGGCCAAAAGTGAGTTTATAGTAGCGTGTGGTGTGTGTGTGTGTGTG